GCCCGATTTACCTCAGGCAAATTATCAAAGAAGTTAAATTTAAAATTGTTATACCTTTTGTTCATACTAGTGTATAGCCTGTCAAAAATTATGGGGCAAGTAATACCACCCCCACCCCATAGTATACCCTAACCTCACACTTCATAGCTGAAATAAATATATTTTGTGAAATCAAGCTTGACCAACAAGGAAGCAGAAAAGTGCAGTCAAACATTGGTAAATTCCTTTGTGAGTCAATCAAAATTAAGATCATTCATGAAATGAATTTGGAGCATATTCATCGAATAATTAGTGATAAAAATCAGTTAGATTAACATATAGAAAAGCCAGTGCATTTTGGTAAAACTACATTCCAACAATGGCTTTTATGTCATGTTGCTTAGCAACAACAGTATACCCTAATATTGTTGTTAGTATTTGTACTGAAAGTATAAAATGAAATGTATAAACAACAAAACTGTAAAAATATTTGTTGATTTTTTAATTCAGAGTCTCCTTTGATTGAAGAGGTTTGTTTTTTATTTAAAAGTTGGTGATATAACAGAAAATAGCTTAATTCAGAAATTATTTAAGTTTAAAATTGAATTTATATCTTTACTTTCATTATAAATGTTATGCACTTGGCTCTTGGCTAGGTGATCCCGCAGTACATCTTTACTTTAGGCTTATTATACTAACACTCACAACATTTATAAGGTTTCCCGGCACACACTCACCCCTATTAGCCTCCTTGCACCCTCTTCACTAAAATTATAATGGGCAGACAGTAACCAAACTATTCTATCTGGAAAAAATGCATTTTGGATTTTATGACTATTCCTATTTCAAGAAATCAAGCATGACATGACACACATTGGCTTTTATATAGGTTACATTGTTTGGCCTAAAACTTGAAAAGAAAAGGGTTTTGAAATATATAGCAAATGCTACTGAAAGTTTACTTGTTTTCTGTAGACTGTTGTTAAATGAACATCAAAATTGTACTAAACTATATGTGGAACATAATTTTCTCAGCAGTAATTTTTTAAATGCACAATAAAAATACATATTGCCAACAGGAACATTGGTTTTACATTGTCACACATCAAGCAATTTATTTAGGTATTTTAATGCACAAGACAAGCAACAGAGGATGCTGGATCTGCTACTTGAAATTCAGATAGGCTACATAGAGCTGGCTCTTATTAATTATCATGGTTGTGTACTTGTTTCTGCTGATATGACTCACATGATATAATTTAAAAAAAAAGTTTTTTTCTTCTAAAAAAAACTTTGGTTTAATATCCATTTATTTCCTCTTTATCTGTCAATTGCCATAGTGTTTTAACCCCTTACCTACTGGGGCCAGTTTGTTTTATCATGAGGGCAAAATCACATTTGTGATAGAGAACTTATCGTTTATTAGATTTCAGATTTTATTTTTGTAAATAGTGGCATAACATTCAATTATTTGTCCTAAATTCTATTGTTTAATGAAGTTTGAAGAGAAGTTTAATAAAAAAATTCCAAAATAAGTTTGAGACTATAAATAAGAAAAAACTTTTTCAATATTTTTTACATTTTTTTCTTGCACTTTATCACTGGTCCTGCCATTTATAATTGATATCTAAAACTTTTTCTAGCTTGTTTTCTTTATAAAACAGCGTCTGAGCGTGTTAAACCTCAATTGTAAAACTTTCAGCCAATCCTATTCGAAGGTGTCAATTTCAGTACCATGTTATTCCAATCACTGTATTTCACGTATGATAAATCATAGGATGATAAGCAAAGCACGTAGTGAAACATTGTACTCTGGATTTTACAATATGAATGTAGGTGGTGCTTATAATAGTAACTGCCATCTTATGTAGAGGTTGTATTTAGTAGTGGTCAATAGTACTTTTATATAAGCCTTAGAAAATCTGCTTCTGGAAAAAACTGCATAGGATGTATGTGACTTTTATTATTTTTCTATAGTAGCTTAAATCATGCCATATCTTATATGCCTATTTATATTAATCATTATATTTAAAAATTAACTCAAATTAGATAAATCTAAGGAAAGAAGTTGATCCACGAATGTTAGGGTTAACAGATATCGAGTGGCAAGTGCATGGTCTTTACATCAATTAGGAGTAGCACTTTGAACTGAAAGAGTTTGTTATTTTGATATCCTTTTGCATTTAAATTCATTTTAAGTTCAATAATTTAGTGTAATTTTATATTTAGTTCATAATAAAAATATGATTCATTATTTAGAATGATAACCTTGTGTGATTTGTACGTACTACTACTAGTACCACGTAAGAATTTTATATTTTCCTTCTTACTATCTTTACTTTGTAGTAAGACCCACACTTCTGTTGTTGCTGCTTTATAATTAAAACAGTCTAACTAATATATAAAAAGCTTATTCTGATATTTTGCAAATGGTTTAAAACTCAGTGTACAAGTGACAACAATAAAACCCATATGTTGGTTGTGAAACAGATTAAACACATTCACATCAGTAATACAGGGGTAGCTGTTACACTCTTACATTTGGGGTGTCAATACAGTGAAGAGCTTAAGTTAATAATATAAATATAAATCTTGCCTATAATGAGAGGTATGTGACCAGGACTAATTTTTTAAGTGCTAGTAAAGTATTTTCTTTGTAATTTATGGTGTCTGTTTCCTTTGGTAGTCTCTTGTAATAGGATGTTTCATGTAGGGTCAGGTGGT